CGCGCGCTTGGTGCGCAGTCCTGGATCCCAAACGAGGATCCACAGCATTGAATCCATTTTGGGATTTAAAGGAGAGAATATCTTCCACCCGGCGTTTTCTTGTGGATCCGGGAAGCCGGTCAAAGAACCTGAGCGTTTGTCTTCCCCCAAAAAGTCTTCCAAAAACTTTGATGGTGAGTTAACAGCTTCGCAAAGTGCCGTTTTTCTGGGTTTAAAACTGGACCTTATTGCAGCACTTTATACGAAATTTAATTTTTTAAAGTCATGAATAACTATCTACAGGTACATAATAGACATTAGAATAGTGAAAAGTTTAAAGTTTTTTATTTAAGTTGAAAACGAAAAAAAGGAAGTTTAAAACGTGTTTGAAAAATAAGGAAAAGAAACAAAAAGTGTTAAATTTCTATTTTATTTTAAAAAATACTAAAATATTATTGATCAAATATGACGACGTCAAAATAGTTATATGATGCTGTTAGATATATGAATAACAGTTTAATGACTTTTGAGTGTTTTCGTGTGATGTTAAAAAAGGAAAATAATTATATGCGTGAATTTAAATTTAAATATGAACACGTCACGCCTTCTCAAGGAAAACCCTGCATTATTTTTCTGCAGGTGTCTGTAGATCCGCCGTCATCAGTCCGGATCTGCCGGATGTGGATGGTGGTAAATTGTCGGATGATGAAAATCCGAAGAAAAAGCACCGGCGGAACCGGACCACGTTCACCACCTTCCAGCTGCACGAGCTCGAGAGAGCGTTTGAGAAGTCGCATTATCCTGATGTGTACAGCAGAGAGGAGCTCGCGCTCAAGGTCAACCTGCCGGAGGTTCGCGTGCAGGTGAGCACAGCATACAGCACACACACGATCCGTGTATTTGAGAAGAAGAATGACACACGCTAGCAATAGGATCACTTTATTTAATAGATCACTGTTCAAAACCTTTCCTCATTGATCCCTTCAGTTTGCAAAGTTTATAAAAAATATTTCTAGTACAAATTCAAGGCAAGAAATCATGTTTTCGTTTTATAAATAATAATAAAATAGACTTAAACAAAATGCATTAGGAATCGAAGCAACCAGGGAATTTATTTCTTGAAAATGTAATGGCAAATAGCAATAGTTTAAGAAAGAATACAATTAAAAACTTTAGAAATATTTAAAGTGAATTTTTAAAAAATATATCTTGTATTCCATTCATTAAAAGTAAAACTTGACAAATATAGACGGTAAGAGATTTCACATCAGACTACTTTTCTTGTGCATAGTGCCAAAGAAAATGTAGCCTCCTCCTTCTTCTTGATTTTATTGGGATATAATATTCTGATTTAAACTATTATAAAGTAACTTTACTGACAGCTAATAAAATGTGGCTAATATATATTTGTTTTCAAATATCTGAATCTTATGTGTAGCAAATTAAGATTTTGGACATAAGTAACTGGTAGAAATAATTTATAATATTGTAATATAACAATATAAAAAAATCTTATAAATATAATACAATTTAATCAAACGTATATCTACATATATCGACTTTTTGCAAGTTTGTTTGAAGGGTTTTTGCGAACTATGAACATTTGAACTTTTTTCCAAGTGTATTTGAAAGGTTTTGTGAATTATTCATTTATAACATTGTAATATATAATATCACTTTAATATGTAAAAAATAATATTATACAATTTAATCACGAACTTACATCTACATACTTTTTCACCAGTGTATTTTGAACGTTTTTTTTTTTTGCAAGTGTATTTGAAAGGTTTTTGAGGTGTATTTTTTTATATATTTGGAAGGTTTTGGCTAATTATGAACATTAGATCTGCACTTTTCTATATCTTCCCTCACTGTTGGACTTTTAAACGTTATTTCTGCATTCTAAACTAAATCCTTCCTATGTCAAATTTCAGGTTTGGTTCCAAAACCGCCGTGCAAAGTGGCGACGTCAGGAGAAGCTGGAGGTGAGCTCCATCAAGCTGCAGGAGTCCTCCATGCTGTCCATCCCCAGATCGGGACCACTGTCTCTGCCGTTAGAGCCCTGGCTTACCGGACCCATCACCTCCTCCAGCTCTCCCCTGCAGTCCCTGCCCAGCTTCATCACCCCTCAGCAGGGAGTACCAGCCAGCTACACCCCTCCACAGTTCCTCAGCTCATCCACGCTCAACCACCCTCTGCCCCATATAGGAGTGGTGTGCCCCCCTCCACCAGCGTATCAGTGCTCAGGCTTTATGGATAAATTTACACTAGAAGAAGCAGACCCACGAAACACAAGTATCGCCTCGCTAAGAATGAAAGCGAAAGAACACATCCAGTCTATAGGGAAGACGTGGTAGACTGAGGAGGATGCTGGACTGAGGCACTCAGAGACTTGTTTGCATCTCCTTTAACTTTCTAAATCAGACTCTGTTTGAAGAGAAGTGGTTTTCACATCTGTCTGTGGTTCAGAAAACTCAGAGTTTTGACAAGCTTTGTAAAACAAATTCACTGTACATTACTTTTTACATTACATCTTTTTTGGTTTATTTTTTTAATCACAAGTTCATTTAATAAAGCTTCCTCAAATACGCAACCAGACCTAATTCAACCCTTTAAAAAAAAAAGAAGCATTTAAAGCATTGAAAGAGAGAAATAAAAAAAATTGCATTATAAATGCATGCTTTTAATTTCATTTAAATCACATTTGTCCCTTTTAAAATCCTCTTCGAGCCTTCAGTGCTAGCAAAAGGGTTTCATTCTTTAAGTAGCTATTGTATGATGCAGATGGTCACTTTCCATAACATTTTGCTTAATGCTTTCACATTGTACAGATTAATTTTGTATTTTATAATAAAAACAAGTTTAGAAAAATCTCAAATGCATCCTGTCTCCAATAGTTCTTCTTAATGCGGATTTACAAAATAGTATGTTCGTAAAGTAAAGTTAGTAAACTAAATCACACATATTCTTATATTCCACAATTTTTTTGGTACATATTTGCTATAATTTATAATATTTAAAAAATATATTTTATATATTATTTTATTTCTATTTATTTCAGTAGGCTATGAACTTCCATTGTATTTTTAAGATATCAAAGCAAATATTTTGTTGTAAATTCAATTTGTAATTAATACCTTCAGTATTTGAGAGAGAGAGAGAGTTATTTGTATTTATTTATTTATTTTTATTACTGTTCACTTGCCAGGATAATCCGCTTCTCCAGTGTGGCGCTTCTCAGTGATTATGCCGCCATCTAGTGGTTGCGTTTGGAACATTATTCTCCGGTAACAACGGACCAGTGTCTTTGCAATCTATAACATTTAAATTGTAATTTTGTGGTGGATTTTTAGGTTTCTGTATAGAAATATATTCTCACCATCACTAAACTAAACTAAATCTGGGGTTATTAAAAAAAAAAAAGGAATTTTAAAAATGTCTTTGTGTAAACTTTTACTTTTTCATTTATACTTTGTATAAATAAATAAGACTGATATTATAAACACTTTTGATATACCTTTATAAAGATAATTAGCCTATTTTTCTACATACAATGTAAAAGTAAGACATGTAAACTAAAAAAAATAAAATACACATTTGTTTTCAAATCCCTCAGGAGATGAAATATCATCAGGTTATCTAAATTTCACAAATTCCTTCATATAGTTGTTTTGCATTAGCAGTTGGGACCTGCAGACCTGTACCAAACCCATCAGCTCACATCTTCATGAACACACGACTATCACCAAATCTGACGTTTGCCATCTGTGCAGCAACTTTAACAGTGATGCAATTCGATTGAGACTGAAGGGGGTCACATTTCTATTAATGGTCGTTCATCTGTGACAAATGAGGAAAGGAAACTGTGTGAACTAGATGAGCTTAAACAAATGAAAGTGGCTTCAATTGACATCTTTCATTGTTAGAAACATCAGTGTGTATAATTGGCGCCATTATTGTGCACAGACAGCTGAGAGCGGCGAGACAGTTAGACCATCAAGAATTTCCTGCCAGTTGTCACAGACAATGCAAAGGTTGTGATTTAGTTATTCAGACGGTCATTAGTGTGCGGTGAAGAGTTTTCCTGTCACCTGCCTGCCTCTGTTAAGTGACTGCTTGACTAATAAGCAGGTTATGGCCAGCCACCTCAAAAGATCGATCATAACCTGTAACAAATTGCTTTCAGAATGAGACATTCTTTTAACTCTCAAACTACATGTACTAGTGCATTCAGCTCAGCACATTCTCTATTTAGTTGTAATGCATGGACTGTAAGGAATTCATATGTTAATGTTAAACGAATAGTTCACCCAAAAATTAAAATCTGTTTCTTATAAACACACAGCTTTTCGCTTCACAAAACATGAACTGATGGACTGGAGTCGTGTGGATTACTTGTGGATTATTGTGATGTTTTTATCAGCTGTTTGGACTCTCATTCTGACGGCACCCATTCACTGCAGAGGATCCATTTGTGAGCAAGTGATGCAATGCTAAATATCTCCAAAACTGTTCCGATGAAGAAACAAACTCATTTACATCTTGCATGACATGAGAGTGAGTTAATTTTCAGCAAATTTTCATTTGTGGGTGAACTATTCCTTTAATAGTCTTTTTCTAGTCAAGACATTTCAAATGATATGCAAGCGAGCAGACTATTGTTTTTATAAACCGCAGATAGCCCAACAAGTTAAAGTTTATTAAATATTAATCAACTGAACTGTGAATACAATGGTTACTATGGTGTCAGTTATCAAGAAGATGAATTCATTTATAAAACAATACCATAAAATATACAGAATGATGACACTCAGTTTATGTGTGTTTTTTTGTAGAGATATTGGCAAACAAAAATATAACATCATGCTTATTTATATGTTGCTGAATAAAGAGGTTTGTATTAGATCAAGCCAGTTGTCAAGTGAACTTCAAACCACAGTCTTTTGTCCAGTTGGTCCTCAGCTTTCGTTGTCATCCTGCATTAATAAAGCCCGGAACAAGACGTCCTCAGCCTGTATATGAAATATAATAACGAGAAATATTATTATATAAGAATCAAAGGAAACTGACCTTAAATAAAACATGCATATCATCATTAGCTTAGAAAAATGGTCAACTAAAACTAAAACCATGAAAAGTTTTCATTACTTTAAATAAATTAAGCTTTCATTTCAAGAAAATAAATGTTAAAAACTTAAACTTATGTACTAAAATAACTAAATCTAAAACTGAAATAAATTAAAAACTAGATAGACATTAATATATATATATATATATATATATATATAAATGACAAAATACACTAAACGACTAAAACTTTAACTTAAAAATTACATCAGAAAATATAAAAATAAAAACTCATTCAAAATATTAATAAAACATTATAACAGTATCTCAAGGCTACTAAAATAACACTGGTTACAAAAGATTTGTCTGTGTCTTATTTGTCATTTGTCCGGTCAAAAGTGATTCTTTATTTGCCCAACAATGAAAAATGTTTTATTATACACATTGCAGAATAGTTTATTGATTACAAATAGATGAGAACCACCTATATGCACTTTAAATGCATCTTGCATGCATTTTTACATTAACATAACGATCATGTTAAGGATTTCTCTTACCAATTTGACTTGTCTGTCTCTCTCATGACCTTCCTCCCACTGACGTCTCTCTTCCAGCATGCGCTGGAGCAGTTTATGAGCACCGATCTCCTCTGTGCCCTCCAGCATGCTCTGCGGTGCCATCCGTCCTCTCATGAGCGCATGCAGGAGTGGCAGCAGCAGATGTTTGCTGTATCTTTCCAGCTGCTGATCCTGATCTCGAGTCGTCATAGAGGTCTCATCGCCGCCTTCTAGATCCTCAGGTCTGACCTGCTCATCTGTGCTTTTCTTGCCCATTAAGTGCCCTAAAACAAATATAGGTCATTATAGAGTGATTGTTGCTCTGATTTTAAGTCAAATTAATGCATTTAACACAAATATGATAGGTAGGACAGCATCTCCACACTTAAAGGGGGCATAACACACACACAGTTTCACCCAATCTCATGTTAATTTATCTTTCTTAAAAAGCAAAGCGGGGTAGTTTCTTTTTCATTAAGGATGTTGTAAGGAGTGATTTCTGTTATAAAAACAGCATAGTTCTTTGCCAGCTATTGAAGGTCTGTTCACAAAAAGTGCAAAATTTCATGGCAACAAGATGTAAAAAGTTGTTGTTGCTGTTGTTTTTGCTTGATGTAAAAACTCACTACTGTCTTTAACAATTGCCATTGTTGTTCTCTTGAGTACAAAGAACATATAGCCTAATGTCGAGTTCACACTGCACGATTTTCAAAGACGTCGCATCACTGTTGGTTTCACACTGAACGACTATTTGGGGTAGCATTCAGTTGTTGCTGTGTTCACACTGCACGATGGAACGACAACAGGAGGTTACACACTGCATGACTTCACAATAGGAAGAATCGCCGACAGCTCTGTCTGGTGCAGGGTTGCCAGGTTTTCGCTACAAAACCTGCCCAATTACGGGGTTTTACGTCAGAATTCATTGCACACAGCGTGATTGTGAATCGCCGACAGCTCCAGATATTTAGCATGCCAAAAATTTCACGGGAGTCGGCGACGCATCGGCGATTCCCTCAGATCGCGTCTTTCATAATTCACACTGCGTGATTGTCACTCGCGTGAACGAGCACCGATTTTCCTCCGATTTTGAGCATTTGTCGGCGATTTCGCAAAACCTGTCGGCGAGTGAAAAATCGTGCTAAAATCGTGCAGTGTGAACTCGGCATTACCGTCTGCAGTTCTGAATCATGACCGGGATCTTTTATCACTGGGACCACTCCATCTTTCAGTATGAAACGATGTGCAAATCCAGCTCGAACTGGGCCTTGTTTATAAAACATTCGTCAACATCACACTTGTGAAAAACAAACTGTATCCACTGTTTACATAACCCTGGGTTCTTTAGGAAGCTGAACAAAGTTATCTTTCCCTTACAACCAAAAACACACTTCTTTGGAGACATTCTTCCCGAGTGATGGGCGCGATCTCACTCTTGCTCTCACTCTGGTCGATGCTCTTGTCATACGTCCAAATTGTTTTTTGAAACTTTGTCCATGCTTAGCATGAGAATTCAACTCTTTAACAGTGTAAACAACTGTGAATGCATGAAACAGCATTGTACCCCCCGTTTAAATAAGACTTCATGTGCAGGTTGCAAACAAAGTCACACTCACAACAATGCATTTGATACATTATAGTACAACCTAACCAAGAAACAGCTATATATTAGCCATTTAAACAAATACTGAATCCAGTCTGGTATAAACGTGCAAACAATATGCAATTTGAGCCAACATAATCCATAATTCCTTCTATTCACGAGCAATTCTGTATCTATCTGTATTTATGTTCTACTGTTAGTGTTATCTGTATGCACCAAGGGTCTGAGAGTAACGCAATTTCAATTCTCTGTGTGTATGTGGTGTACATGTGGAAGAATTGACAATAAAGCAGACTTGAGACTTGAGACTTGAGAATTGTTTAATACAGTATTAGCGCCACTGAACTCAATTTCAAATCTCAATCTCTAAAATAAAAAA